TAATTTCCTGATGAATGCAGTACGTGGCACCTCGGGGATTTCAGAGCAGAGATCTCAGCATCAATGTTTGAATGCAGTCTGTTATCACCACCAAGGTGTTTATAACTCAAATCCAAGCCTTTATCACAAAAAAGAGAGAAAAAGCAGAATATTTTGTACTCACTGTCAACCAACTCCCGTGTCTGACCCTGAACATGAAGATACAAAGGACGATCTCTGGGGAAAAAAAGTCAAATATTCAATTAAACCCACAGACATCACAATTATAATGGATTCAATCTAATTACATTACAGTCATTACACACATAAAGTCTTCCATAAAAATCTGAAATGCCCTCCAGATAAAAATACAAATTCCTTGAGTATCATAGTGCTCAGGCAGGAAAGCTCTGCACTGAAAATGTGATTCAGGAGTTGATGGTGACTCAGAGAACTTACACCACTGAACAATTTAATTAGCTTGCTCACATAAATGGGTCACTAATGAATAGCAGCAACAAATTTTGGTTTGGGAAGTTGCAGTGTTCTGTGGGGAGAAGTTGAGCACAGTGGGATGTGCCAGGGTGATGGCTGGGGTGGTTATTTCAGCTGAAATAAAGCAGCTAGGAGCACCAGAATGGCAAATTTATTAAAGAACCAACCAAAAGGAACCCCAGCACTTTGTCACCTCAGGAGGAAAGAAACAGAATCTTCCAAAAAAAAAAAAAAGAAATACAAACCCAGGTCCCACTTTGGCTTTCTCTTCTGCAGTCATGAACCTCCCTCGAGTGGAGACAGCTGCTCCACTCAGACGACTGATCTGCAAAAAATGGACAAAGTCCAGTGACACACCTGCCAACAGCAAACAGGGCACACCCTCTAGGCCAAAATGTAAATAAATTTATTTATTTAAATAAATAAATTTCAATAAGTTGCTGTAAAAAACCCCAGAAATCATTAACAAAGTGCTAAGAGACTGATGCTGGCTCTGAAGTCAATACTGATGCCTTGTGAAGGCTGATTTAGAACACAGGCTGGACAGAGTTAATTGTAAAGCAGGGATTTATTAGCAGAAATAAATCCTAAAACAGATCCACCTTGGGCAGCACAAGAGCCCAGCCAGGGCTACACCCAAGATGAACCAAAATGGTCACAAAAATGGACAACTGGTCATGGGGTCTGTCACTTTTAGAAGTTCTGCTCCATTTGCATATTGGAGTTAATTCTATAATTACAGCTTTAGGTTATTAAGCCCCATCCTGCTTGTTTTTCTCTCTCCAGCCCACGTTGTTTGTGCTCTTGGGCTGAGATTTGGATCATTTGTCCTTGGTGCCCAGCTGGAGAAGGAATTGTTTTGTCTCTGCTCTGTGAAGAGAGCTCAGCATCCCCTAATATGGAGCCCAGACCCACACACTAAATCAGCACAGAACCACTATTTTTTATATTAAAAATATAAAAACTAAAACCTGAGGCATCAATACAACAAGTTACTGAACAAACCAGCAAACACCTTTAGAAAACACAAATTTTCCAGAAAGGAACAACCCCTGAAGAGAGTCCCCTGCAAGTTCTTTTCACCTCATCTCCTCAGAGACAAAAAAGAGAAAGGTGTAGAGGGTTGTGTAAGGTATGCCAGTGAGGAGAGAGGAAGGGAAGAGGAAGGGGAGAGGAAGGGGAGAGGAAGGGGAGAGGAA